GCGGCCGCCGCCGCGTTCGCGCCCGCCCGCCCGGCCCACCACCCGCTGTCCTCCCTGCACAAGGTGTCCATGCTCCTCGCGGACGCGCCGCCCAGCCTGCTGGTGGACCTCCTGGCCCTGGTGCCCAAGTGAGGCAGTCGGGCTGTGTTTGGGAGGGGGAGGGGGGGTTGCCACGGCGGCTCAAGGGGCAAGCGTGCGCGAGGCTGGGCATGCATGCTCCCGCTCCCTCGGTGCCAAGGCCATGCCACGGCACGTCGCTGACCTCTTATCAAACCGCCCTCCAACACCCTCGACGTGCAGGCTGATCGAGCCCTCGGAGCATGACGCCGCCGTGGGCGCGCTGCTCACCTTCCTGGCGGAGGCGGGGCGCCAGACCCCCGATCTGGACCGCGGCCTCTGGCTGCCCGTGCTGACCACCTGCAGCGCCCTCTGCGTCAGCACCGGCGCCGCCTTTGTGGTCGTGCAGGGCATCCTCCAGGTGTGTGTGTGTGTGTGTGTGGAGGAGAGGGGGGGGGGGGGGGGAGTCCTCGATGGGCTGGGTCTCTCGGGCGCAGCATGCCCAGCACGGCGTGTCACACCATTCCATGCCCGCTGCTTCTCAGAGGTTATCCAAGCCCATGCACGGTGTCTCACTGATTTTCGTCAGCACCCCCCACCACCACCACACACACACACAAAAACAAAAACAAAATACAGGCGGTGCCCTTCCTGGCCGAGCACGAGCTGGCGCCGGCGGCGGGGCTGGTGCGCCGCATCACCGCAAACGCGCCCAGCGCCGGCCCGGCGGGCGCCGCGCTCCTGCGCACACTCATGGACCTGCACGGCGCCGCGCCATCCTACGTGGCGCGCTGGGCGCGCTTTGCGCACGCCGCGGGCCTGGCCGGCCGCTATGTGGCCGATTCGGCGGCGGCGCTGGCCAAGGAGGCCGCCGCGACGCGTGACGCGCCCGGCCGCCCTGCTCGGCCCGAGGTCGGCGCCGCCGAGCTGGGCATGCTCCTGGACGGCCTGGCGCACGGGCACCCGCTGTTTGCGGGGAGTGGCCTTGACGACTCCGCGGCCGGGGGGGATGGCGCGGCGGCAGCAGACGCCCAAGCCGCGAGGCCAGAGACCTCCGCCGCCCCCCCGGCGCGGTCCCCGCCCGGCAAGCCCGGCGCGGGACGCGCACAGGCGGCGCAACCTGCGCCGCCGGCCCCCGCCGCGGTGTCTTCCCCGGAACACCCGCGCGATGTGGCCGAGGACGCCGCGCGCGCCGTCGAGGCGGGCTTGGCGGCGGGGCTGATCTCCGGCGAGGCGCTGGGCAGGGCCGTGCACCTACGCGCCGCGGCGGCTATGGAGGCCGCCGAGTGCGGCGATGGCTTTGGGGCGCGTGCCACCTGCGACGCTGCTGATCACGATCCTGCGCCCGCCGGCCGCGCCTCTCCGCCCGCCCCTGCTGGCTTGCTCCCCCTCCCGGCCTGCCTGGCAGACGTGGAGACGCTGCCGGCGCTGGCGTCGCGCCTGCTGCGTAGCCGGGACTGCGGCACCTGCCGCGCGGCGGGGGCGGACCTGTTCCGGGACCTGTTCCTGGCCCACGACGCCCTGCCCGCCCGCGTGGGCCTCCTGCGCCGCCTGCTGCGCGTCGCCGTGGACCGCGAGGGCGAGCGCGAGGAGGGGAGCGGGGCCACGGAGGGCGGGGTGAGTGGGCTGGAGGCCGGCGAGGGGCGGGAGGCGTCTGGCGCGGCCCCTCCCGCCCCCTCCCACCCCCTCCCGCCCTCCCCCGGGGACCTGCTCCTGGGCCTGATCCGGAGCAGCGCGGCGCTGGTGCAGCCCATGCTGGTGGTGGCGCTGCAGTCGGCCACCGAGCTGGCGCGCGAGCGCGCACGGCTGGCGCGCGCGCTGGAGGCGGAGCGCGCGGCGCGGCGTGGCGAGGGCGAGGCAGCCGCCGCACAGATCGCGGCGCTGGAGGAAAGCGCGGCGCGCGGCGAGGCGCGCGCCGCCGAGGCCGTGGCCCGAGGCGAGGCGCTGCGCGCCGAGGCGGCGGCCGCCTCGCGCGCCCACGAGGCGGCGCGCAAGGACGCAGCGGCCGCGGCGGCCGCGGCTGCGCGCCAGCTCGACTGGGCGCAGGACGAGGGGCGCAGGGCGCTGGCCAAGAAGGCGCGGGAGGCGCAGGAGGCCGCAGCACACGCCGCCGACCTGGAGAGCGTGCTCACCCGCCTGCGCACGCAGCGCAAGGAGGAGAGCAAGCGCGCCACGCGCGAGCGCGCCGCCGCCGATGCCAAGCTCAAGGTGGGTTGGGTTTAGTCGTGGTTCTGGAAGGGGACACGAGGTGGGCTTGTTTCAAGGTGAAAAGGCAGTGACAGGGTCCCGGCTCATGTGACGCGACGCCTGCTGGGCAGGAGGTGTACGGGAGTCTTGTAGGAACAATGGCCAATAGGGCGATGAGTACTGGCACAGGCACCGGGTTGTGTTGCGGGCGAGGGCCCTCCTGCGAGACCGACACCCTGTACCTCTAGAAGCACCCCTTCATCGACTGGCCCCCCCCTCGCTTTCTTGGTCACGCAGGAGGCGGAGGAGGCAGCCGCGAGGGCTGAGGCCGCCGCCGCCGTCTCAGCCAGCGAGCTGGCCAGGGAGAAGCTGGCGGCGGCGGAGGCCGTGGCCGCGGCCTCCGCGAGCGTGGCAGAGGCGCAGCGTCAGCGCGCCGAGGCCGCTGAGCTGGCGGCGGGCCGGGCTGCCGAGCTGGAGGCGCTGCGTGCCGAGGTTGCGGCCCTGAAGTCCGCCGCGGCGGCGGCCGCGGCGGCAGCGCAGCAGCGCGAGGCTGCCGTGCAGGCGCAGCAGCGAGAAGCCGCCGCCGCAGCGGCGGCGGCAGCTGCCGCGCAGTCGGCCTCTGCGGCGCAGGCGCAGCAGTCGCACAGCGTGCACAGCAGCCCTCGGAACCGGGGCACGGCCCAGGTGCGAGGCAAGGGTGGGTGGGGTGTTCATTGGGTGGGGAGGACGGACCGACCAGCGCCCTTGGAACCGGGATGGATTGGATGTGCTCTGAAAGGCAACGATTCCTCGATCCCTACTCGATTTCTGGAGCTGGTTTCTGCCCTGCCCATGTCACGCGATTCCCTCCTTGACACCACAACACACCCGCATTCACCCACCCACCCACCCCAATCTCCTTCCGCCTCGGCAGGACCAGGTGGGTGCAAGCCCCGCGCCCAGCAGCTGGGCCTCGGCAGGGCCGGACCTCTTGGGCATGGCGCGCGCCGGGGACGCGGGCCTTCGCGCCTACCTGCCCGCCGCCTCGGCCGCCCAGCGCTCCATGCTGGGCACGCTGGGCGGGCCGGGGGACTACGGCGCGCGCGGCGAGAGGCAGGGCCCCTCACCGGGGCTGGGCGCCTCCACGCCGCCCGCCTCGCCGCACCTCAAGCTGGGGGGCGGGGGGGCGGGGCCGGCCGGCGCGCCGGGCACGCAGCACCAGGCCCCCACTCAGCAGCGGGTGATGAACTCCCCGTGGTCGACGCGGGCGCCGGGCAACGGCCTGGCCGCCGGGCAGCTGCTGCGCAGCCAGCAGGCGCGGGCGGCGGCGGCGGCCGCGGCGGCCGAGTACGCGGGGAGCCCGGGGGGGCAGATGGACGCGGCCTCCATGCTGGACCTGCTGCCGCGAGACCTACTGCATTCCTGACCTCATGGTGGGGTGCGCGGCGTGATTGTCACGCCTCAGGATGGCGTGCGCTGGAAACAGATTTGCTGTGCCATTCATGTGACAGCACGCAGGTGGATGACGGCGGGCAGGGTGCACGCGGTGGGGGAAGGAATGCTGGCGCTTGGCCAGGCAAAGGAGGCAGGCAGCCAGGCAAGGGGGATGAATAGGAAAACGCACGCTGGCAGGGGCAGGCCATGAGCATGTAAGGGATTAGAGCACAGCATTGGCATCGAGCACTATCGCTCGTGGTCGGTGTCAGACGCTGCCACGCCCGACATCTCCTCCTCGTCGGCACGCTCCTCTCCCTGCATGCTCCCTCCGCCTGGATGTGCATGAGACAGGGGCAGTGAGAGAGAAGAGGTTTCAGGACCTGCATCATGACCCCCTCACGCACAGCCACCTGCCAACCTGAGCTCGTTTCGACGCCCTCGGCCATGGGTGCTGGCGCCTCGGCGGGTCCTCTGCTTGGACCCGCAGTCCCCAGGGAGGCATGTGCAGCGTGCTGCGGGGAAGGAAGGGATAGGTACCACATGTGTGTGGTATGACTCCAGCGTGAGGTGCAAGCAGGCATCCCAACAGCCGCACCTGCTTCAGGCAGTCCAGCTCGGCTTGAAGCTCCCTCTCGCGTGCCTTGTGGAGGTTGAGGAGCGCTGCCACCTGCTCATGGGAACATGCAGCGGAGCTGTGGGGGCCACTACTCCACAGCATGTGTTCTGCCTATGCTCAGGCTTCTAGAGCTAGCAGAAGAAAGCCACTGAACTGTGCTCCTCGGCACAATCACCACCCCAGCCCGCTGACCTTGACTGCGGTGTCTGCTCGATGCTGGGCGTCCGAGTCGGCATAGGCGACGAGCTGGCGCTGGACCCTCATGCACCGAGTCTCCAGCTCAGTATGCTGCGCCGTCATGCTGGCCAGGGCAGCTGCGCTCTGCTGACCGGCCTCCAGCAGCTCCGAGAGCAGGGTGAAAAGCATACTCCCCTCTGACGCCGGGCTCTCCTCCACCCCGAAGTTCAAAGAGTACATGGTGCCCTCGGCCTCTGAGGGGTCAGACCAGCGCAGGAACACCCGCTGCGAGGTGGTGGGATGGGAAGAAGGTTGGAGGGGTGCAAGTGCGTGGCATGTCCATGAGGGCATGCTCCCTCGGCGCACCATGCAAGGCAGAATGGGAATGATGCCGCCGAGATCCTCCCAGGTCGTTGCTCTGCAGCACCGCACCCACCATTTCCTGCGTGCCGGTCGTCTTCCCTGGACGTAGCTCGACGGCATAGGTGGGCCTGCTGGGACCAGAGTCTGCATCATTGCTCTCGGGCCGCCTCGAGAAGGCCGCCACAACATGATTGAGGCAGGCAGGGTGCACTGAAGTGATGGCTCCCTTATTCAGGCCTGTGCTCGTGGTTTGGCGTGAAAAGCAATACTCAGTTTGTTGGCTTGCAGGATTTTGGTGTGGTTGCCAAGCACCAGCGTGACATCCGTCGCATGCTCGTCGAGCGATGGACCTACATTGGGCAGTGAATGTTTTCGTCCCGTTTGTAATGATCAGATCATACGCCGAATCGTCGTCATTCGAAGGCATGAGGCGGGTGATGTACCCCTCGCCAGTCCTGGCGTCGTCAACTCGGCTGAAACGTGTCATGGCCATGCCCACACTCGAGACCGCACCAAGAGAGCATCACGTCACCTCCATCTTACTTCATGGCAAACTGAAAAATTCCCGAATGACCGGCGATGCGATGCACAACTTGAAATATCATCGCGAAAAGTTCGGGCGCGAATGTTGCTATGAGTGCACATCGCACATGCCACCTCTCAGACTGGAGGCTTGCCGAAGGTTACAGTCCTGATGCAGCAACCATGATTGGTCGACATAGGATGCGCAGAGCATCTGGGGACTGTTTGCAAAGCTGCTCCCGAAAGAACTCTGGGCCAGCAAGATCCAGCCAGCCAGCTCCGCCAGTCTGCTGTCCCTTGCCATGGGCCTGGCGCGGCACTACCTCTGTACAGGGTAGAGGCAACCATTTGCTTGGCAAGAAGTACTTGGCATAATCTGTCAGGGTGCTGTGCACGGACACAGGATCCATTAATGGCCTCATCTCCCAGGCGTCACATCCGTATTCCCAGGCTGTTCCCGTATGAAGTCCACCCACAAAGGTCATGCTCCATCCCCCTTTACGTCCCTTTCACTACCCACCTGTAGCGTCTTCAGCACTCCCGACAGCCAGTCCAGACCTTCATACAGCCCCTCCCCTCTTGTGGAGATGGCGCCTTGGACATGCCACTTGCGGCCCTTGAGGGCTGGCAAGCCCATGGCCTCACAAGTCTCCGCCGGAGTGAGTGCTCCAGGCTGTGAGCCCAATGGGGGAAGGAGAGGTCATAGCAATGCGCAAATAGAGGGCAGGGGTGTGGTGATCTATGTGGAGTGATGACAGAGGCAAGGCCAAGGCATACTGCTCGACTTCGCCCAACCCCTTCAGGATCCAGCACAAGCCGGCAAGCTCTCACCAGGTCTTGCTTGTTCGCGAAGACAAGGATGGCAGAATGTCGCATCAGGGGGTCGTCAATGATTTGCTGTGGGGGCAGGAGTGGTAACTTGTTGAGATTGCCTTGTGACAGAGTGACATGCTTTGCCAGGCATTCATCCTGAAGCTCAGCTCCTCACAAAAATGCAAGGGTGCATCAGGGAGACGCATCACCAGACCCTGATGCTATCTGCCACAAACCCACCTTGAACTCCGCAGACGCCCGCCCAATGCGCTCGCGATCGCAACAGTCCACGACATAGATAAGGGCATCGGTGTTGTTGAAGTAATGCCTCCACAGAGGACGCAGCTTCTCTTGGCCGCCCACATCCCAGACCGTGAATATGACGTTCTTGTACTGCACCTTTTCAACGTTGAAGCCTGTGTTGTGGGGGGACCAAGGGAAGGTACGACGACATCCAGTGGAAAAACAGAAGTTGCACCGCCAGGCACACTTGACACAATAAGCGGCGACCCTCGGACCCAATCCGGCCCTGATCAGACGTCGCCCGGGTGTGGAAGGTTGCATTTCGGACCATATTCAACCCAGTCCTACGTACCGATGGTAGGCACGGTGCTGAGCACCTCCCCTATATGAAGCTTGTAGAGGATGGTGGTCTTCCCCGCCGCGTCCAGGCCTGCAGAAGGGCGCGTTCGCGGTGAGCATCGCACTGCTGCATGCACTTGAGGCCATCCCCGCCCCCATCTCCGTCTCACCGAGCATGACTACCCGCATCTCCCGATTGCCAAACAGGCCATCGAACAGGCGTCGAAAGGTGTTCCCCATAGGGGTACCGACGCGGTCTCTATACCAATTGAGGTCCCTGGATTCTATAAGAGAGAGCCCCTCGAATCAGAGGATGTCGGCCAGGTCCCACCGAGCTATAATGATGGTATCGGAGGTTCAGAAAGGGTTGACTCCTGTTCCACAGGTCGCAGACCTCCGGCGTTTGTTGTGAATCCTCAGATTCCAATGCCCCGTGCTATCTCCTGGGAGCAGCCTTGGGCTACGCACTTCGTCTGCACACCCACCAAGCGAGTTCGTCGTCGTTCTGTTTTCCCACGACATCCAGCGTTACCTCGGGGAGCCAGCAGTACCCTCGCTCTCGATTCCTTGCTTGCAGATAACTTGCATGCACGCACCAGCCCTCCCCCTTCGAGATTGACGTACTAGGTTCACCAGCATGTTGGCTCTCCGCTCGGCGCCGGTTGGTGTCGTTTCCTCCCGGCCAGCCTTCGCTGGCAGGATCAGGGCTCCCAAGGCGCGTGTGCCATCGCTGCTCACACCCCACGCTACCGCCCTCCCAGTCGAGGTGAGGGCATGGCGATGCCTGCTTGCATTACCATTTTGAAGATTACATAAATCAACATGGCTGGGTCAGTGCATGATTGCCCTGGTGCTCTCTCGACATGCAGATCAAGACGGTAGCTCCCTTGGGCGAGCGGGTGTTCGTGAAAGTGGTCGAGGCCGAGCAGAAGACGCAGGGCGGCATCCTCCTGCCCAGCAGTGCCCAGAAGCGCCCCACACAAGGGGAGGTGGTGAACGCTGGCACCGCCAAGGCCCTCAAGGTCTGTGATCCCCGGTATAGGCTTCCATGAGGGTTTCTAGATGGAGGTGTGCCTGCGGCCCCCATGCATGTCGGGGAGGGTGACGATGAAGGTAAGGACACTGCTGCTATTATTTCCTCACATAAGCATGATTTCTTCTGAACAAGCAGAAGGGTGACAAGGTGGTCTACTCCAAGTATGCCGGCACGGAAATCGAGCTGCAGTCGGAGGACTTTGTCATCCTCAAGGTGTCGTTGGGTTTGCAGGGGCTTGCCATGCAGTGGCTGGGGATCAGGCATTTGTTTGTGGTCAGGCATGCCTGGAACATGCTTTACTCAGGTGAAGTGCCACAGCACGGTGCCCTCCCTCACCTGCCTGGCCCTGGCTGCCTTGTGTGTGAGACCATGTGACACCTCAATGGCACATGCATCCCCCTCCGCCCTCTCTCAACCCTCCTGGCATCTCGCCCTCGACAGGAGGATGACGTCATCGGCCTGATCAACGGCGACGACATCGCCACCCTGCGCCCCTGCCAGGACCGGCTACTGGTGGAGATGCAGGAGGCTGCCAGCAAGACCGCGGGCGGCCTGCTCCTGACCGAGAGCTCCCAGGAGAAGCCCACCATCGGGCGCGTGGTGGCCGTCGGCCCTGGGCGCGTGGAGGAGGAAAGCACGGAGGCGACGCCGTTGGGCGTGGAGGCCGGGGCCACGGTCCTCTACTCCAAGTACTCGGGCACCGAGTTCGAGGGCGCCGAGGGCAAGAAGTACATCGTCATCCGCGAGGCCGACATCCTGGCCCTCGTGGCCTGAAGCAGTTGCAGGGGCCGGGGCAGGGTGGGAGGTGGCAGCGGCAGGCTGCGCGGCCGAGCGCACTCGGCACCGGACGTGCCTGCGGTGGCATCTGGGTCCGCCGGAGGTGCAGCGTTTGCCATTCTCAGACTCCTGCCTCGAGCACACCTGCACCGTCGTTGCTCCGACTGCATGCAGCGCCCCTTGCATCAAGGACTGGTTGCAAGACACGCTCGAAAGCATCCAGAGGACAAGTTGGAAACCGGCAGGGCAGCGTACACAAGGTCTCAAGGGCGAAGAGTTAGGCGTGGAAGGCATGGGGGACCAAGTCGAGTCTTCTTCACCCGTGGAAATCAGTCTCTTGGATGCACTTGAGGCCCCCACAAGTCCACGAGCCCAGCCCGACCATTGCAAGGCAGCAACATGATCTCAACCACCCCACGCTCTCAGGGCTGCAGCCGCGTCAGGGTCCAGCCGCCCTCCTCCCCGCCCCGCCGTTCGTACACCAGGCGGTCGTGCAGGCGGCTGGGCCGGCCCTGCCAAAACTCGAGCGCGTGCGGCTCCAGCACGAACCCGCCCCAGTGCTCGGGGTAGGGCACCGGCTCTCGCTCGTCGGCGTACTGCCCCTCCAGCTCCGCCATGCGCTCGTCCAGCGCGGCGCGACCGTTTCCTGCCACCGGCGCACTCTGGCGGCTGGCCCAGGCGCCCAGCTGGCTGCCGCGAGGCCGGCTGTTGAAGTAGGCCTCCGACTCGGCGGCAGGGAGGCGGCGGGCGAAGCCCTCCACTCGCACCTGGCGCTGCAGCGGCTCCCAGAAGAAGGTCAGCGCCGCGGCTGGGTTGGCATCCAATTCAGTCCCCTTGCGGCTGGCGTAGTTGGTGAAGAAAGCGAAGCCGCGCGAGTCCAGACCCTTGAGCAGCACGACGCGCGCGCTGGGGGCGCTGCCTGCGCCCAGCGTGCTCAGCACCATGGCGTTGGGCTCGGCCACGCCCGGGTGCGCGCGCGCGTCGCCGAACCAGCGCTGGAACAGGGCCAGCGGGTCGGCGGGCGCGTCGCTTTCCTCCAGAGTCCCCGCCGTGTAGCTCTGCCGCATGCCGGGCAGGTCGGCGTGCGGCGAGGCCGTGGTCGGCGGGGCGGGCGCCGGAGCGGGGGCACTGCCCGCCGTGCCACCACCGTGTGCGGAGCCGGAAAGGCCACCCCTCGTCGCCGCCGCCGCCGCGCCGCCCAGGCGCAGGCACTGCTGCGTCCCGGGGAATGGGGGCAGGTCGGCCAGACCGTAGCGGGCGGCCAGGTCGGGGGTCAAGAACCGTCCGCCCAGGTAGTGGTGCGCGCCGGCGAAGCGCGCCGCACAGCGCTTGGGCGCCGTGAGCGAGACGAGCATGTCCGGGCGCAGGCCGTGCCCTGCCTCGTCCCCGGCCTCCACATCCCAGCCGGAGGGCACGTCGATGGAGACGAGGGCGGGGCAGGGGCGCAGCACGGCGTCCCCGGCACCCGTCGCCCGTGCGGCGGCTCCCGCGCCCGCCGCCAGCGCGGCAACCAGCGCATCGAAGGGCGGGCGCAGCGGGCCGCGGAAGCTGAAGCCGAAGAGCCCGTCCAGCACCACGTCGGCGGGCCAGGCGTGGGCGTCCGGGCCCAGGTCCTCCACGGGCACCAGGCGCGCGCCCGCGCGCCGCAGCTGGGTCACCAGGCCCTGGAAGGGGGGCCGCTGCGTGGGGCGCGGGTAGGCCACAGCCACCTCGTACCCGAAGTGGCGCAGGTGGCGCGCCGCCACCAGCCCGTCGCCGCCGTTGTTGCCCGGGCCCGCCAGGACGAGGACGCGAGGGTGGGTGGCCGCGGGGTACTCCGCCGCCAGGCTACAGGCCACTGACAGGCCCGCCAGCTCCATCAGCTGGTCCAGGGAGAAGCCACCGGGGCCCATCAGCTCCGCGTCTATCGCCGCTGCATCGGCCTTTGACCTGGCGGATGCAGGGAGGGGGGCAGGCTGTGGGTTATGAATTGAAAGCTCCCGAAGAGTAGCGTGCATGTTTGCGAGCGAGCGTGGAACACGCATAGGTCTACGGTGCCTCCAAAGGAGGACACCTGCCCAGGGGATGAGCACACGCGGACCAGAGCAGGTTCAACCCCACTTCCACCACACAGTCACACAAAGCTTTTACTCACAGGTAGGCCATGGCGGGAGGCAGGGATGGAGGTGCTAATCGATCAGGTACTGAAGAAAAATATCTGCTATGGAAAGGCTGGAGGGCGGGGCGAAGAGGGGCACGGCAAGGGGGCGGGGGAGTATATGGTCTACGTGGGGGGCCTAGGGAGAGGAGGATGGAGCGTGAGAGGAGGCGCCAGGGCATGAGTAGTGACAACTATGAGTCTCCTGACTAGATTTCAAAGATTCTTAAAGGATCACGCGGGATCGAGGGGTGTACCCGGTGGGTTATGGTAGGGGGCGACGTGGTGGCCTCCGAGACGGTACCGACCTTGGCGCGAAGTACTTCGTAAACACTGCCGACAAAACGCCCGGAGCCCACATGTCCGTTCAGGGTTTTCACCTCAAGTAAATTGTTCGTGCCGGTATGCCTGGGGAACCCATCGGCCAGCGCCTGTTCTGGGCATGCAGTGATCGGGAGAGGAGACATTTGCCTGCCCCATCTTCATCTATGGATCTGCACCGCCCCAACACCCTCTACTCGTCTTAGAGTGATATTGATACAAAAACAAATATCTCTAGAAATTACCCCCACTTTCGATATACTCGTTCGTGCAGCTGTACTTCGATTGCAGGAAGCAAGATCAAGTCCAGCCAGATCTTGCCGAGCCGTGTTAGCAGTGACGTTATGCCGGCAGCTCACCCACGCGCGAAGCACTGCTTATCCTGCAGCATTGGTGCCGCGAAACTGTCGAGTAAAAATCATTCATTTAAGCTCTCGCTGCGTAGTCACGCGTGCAAGGCTCAGTCGGACGAATCAGGGCACTCACCCCGGCTTCCGTCCCAAAAACACTCCATCCGAGGAATCGGCTTCCCAAGCAATCCCAACCCCTCGAAGCCTGCTGGAGGTGTGCTGTAACATAGACTAGCCGTCTCGCTCCCACCTGTTCGAGCTGGGTCCCCCCCCACTCACCTTCGGCCGGGTTCCGGAAGGACCCGCCTCCCCAATTTCGCACCCTGGCTGCTGCACCGATGAAGATGCGGCAGATCATGCCGGAAGACGGGGATGAAGACCCCACCCTGCAGGTTGAGGTCCGTCAGAATAGCAAGCTTGTGGTCGATGAAGACGCGTTGGCGTCCCTGGCCGCCCAGCTGACGGAGGAGGAGGCCCAGAGGTGCGACGCCTCCATGATGCGCCGGTACATCCGTGCCTGTGGGGGCGATCAGAAGCAGGTGCATGTTCTTCGGGTGGTGGGGGAGGGGGGGGGGGGGAGGGGGGGTCATGGGGTGCATCTAGCCAGGGATATCGGTCATGACCCTGGTGTGCCCTGGTCTGGATCAATTCCTACTAAAAGGCATCCAGGTGGCAGCCTTGGTGTGCGGTGCTCGACCCTGTAGAGTGCCGCGCTCTGCAGGCATCCTGTTGACCCTGTGTGCATGGTGCCCAAGGGCATTGTGTCCCCCTCTTCCTTCACAGTCCCTGTTCCTCAGCCCTTCTCGCTTGTGGGCCACCCTTCGAGTCCTGACCAATCCAAATTCATTTCCCCCCAACAGGCGCTGCGCCGCATCAGGGACACGCTGGCGTGGTTCGAGGCGGAACGCCCCGACCACCTCCACTGCCGCGCCTGCGCGCGCGACCCAAAGTCGCACTACATGCAGGTGGTGGCCTGGGACCGGGGCCGGCGCCCCACCATCTACTCCTGCCTCTCCATCCCCACCTGCCGCACCATGGAGGACACGCGCGCGCATATGATTGCCACCTTCCAGCAGGCCATCGCCTGCATGGCGGGGGGCGTGGAGGACTGGGTCTGGGTGCTGGACATGCACGGATTCGGCCTGCGCGACATTGACCCGCGCATTGCCTTTGCCTTCCTCAAGGTCTCCGCCGCGCACTACCCGGAGCGCCTGGCACAGGCCTACATCGTCTCCGCGCCCCGCATCTTCTCCACCTTCTGGCACTCCATCTCCCCCTTTATCGACGCAAAGACCAAGGCCAAGGTGGGGCGGGAGGAGCAGGATGGTGGGTGGGAAGGGGGAGGGGGCCAACCGAGCGGTGGCAGGCTTGGCAAATGTCTCAGGGGCCGACCAGCAGGTCTGATGATGGTCGGGCGTGCAGGGCCTCCGCACGACGGCACTCGTGCCGGGCTGGGTGCATTCATGGTGATCTTGAGGTAACCTATGGCAGGTGCCATGGTTTCAACCCCCTGAATCTCCTCGCATCAGCATCCCCCGGCCCTGCGAAACCCCAGCCCCACCCCACTTTGCAACCCCCCCCTCGTCACAGATCCACTTTGGGCACTACAACAAGCACGGCGGCAACGAGAAGCTGCGGGCTGCGCTGTGCAAGAACATGGACGACGAGACGGTGCACTGGATGATGGAGGAGATGGCGGAGAACCGGATCAAGGCCGTAGCCCACCGCAAGCACTACTACCACCCGGACCTGGTGGCCCTGGCGCGGGACCCGCAGGGCGCCGGGGTCGTGGCGGCCGAGGCCCGGCGGCGGGCCGCCTCCGCCGGCAGGCACCACGACTGCCTGGGCACGCCCGCCTTCCTGGCCAGCATGGCGGGGCACCCGGAGTGCATCCCGCCCTCCCTGTTTGTCCTGGCCGACACCTCTGTCGGCCCCCACCCCCACCGCCACTGAGGGAATTTGTGGGGGGGTGCCCAGGCGTGTTTTTGCCTCCACCCTCTGCATCACCACAGTGTTCCTCCAGGGGTGGCAGACACTGCAGCGTCGCTGAGGTGGGAGCGGCTGCCCACCATGGTTTCTGTGATCCCTGCCCCGATCAGGTGGAGGTCGATGTGCCAAGCGATACCCCCTCCCCGTTTTCTCAAGATTCCAGTCCATGATGTCTGTACGCTCCCTTCGGTTCCCCATCACCATTTCCTGCATTTTCTTGCCAAGCTACTCCATGCCACATGGCAAACCCATCGCCAAGCCCTGGTCAAGGGCCCAACAGGTTCTTGTAAAGATCTGTGAGGGTAGGATGCAGACAGCTGTTGGATCATATTTCAAGACAGAATCGTGCCCCTCTCTCAGTCCAGCTCCTCAAAGAAAGGGGCGCCAGTGCCCACGGCAGGGGGGCTCCACTCGTCCCCCGGCATCTCTGAGGCCAGGGCAGCGCCCCCCTCCCCCGCCTCAACGGCCAGGGGCTGGGCGGCGGCCCTGCCATGGAGCTTGGGGGGCGTTGGCGGAGCGTCGGCAGAGGACCCCAGAGCCAGACCGACGGTGCCGGGGCCCTTGAGCGCCTTGACCTCCTCCCACGACAGCAGTGGCACGCGGTAGGTTTCCAGGGCCGCACTGCCTCGAGTCTCCAGCACTCCGAGCAGATTATCCACCTGTGGGGG